GATTTTGAAAAAGAGCCAGAGCTCAGTGGGGCCTTACCTGGTAACAATAAAAAAGTTACTTCGTAAAGACGCCCTTCTACCCCCACCGCGTCTTCTAATATTGTTCAAATTACAAGACGCATTCCCCCCCCCCCCCCCCCCCCCCCCGAGTATTTTACAGCACAAACGTTTGGTAGTGCGTCTTTTACACTGTTGTGTGTGTGCGTTTGAATGCGTTAACAGTGATGATCTTCCAAGCAAAATGCTGAGGGAGGGTGGCATTTGAGCGCAGACTGCCCTGTATAATGTTTAGACCAGTGAACGGGTCCCGCAGGATTGGAAGGATGTCCTGGTGGTCCCCCTCTTTAAGAAGGGGGACCGCACAGACTGTACCATCTACATGGGCATCTCTGTCCTCAGTGTGCTGAGAAAGGTCCTGGCAAGGATTATTCAATATCGCCTTGCCAGGCAGGCTGAGGAGAGGCTTGCGGAGCCCCAATCCGGTTTTAGGAAAGGGCGGTCCTGCACAGATGCCATAGTTTCTGTCCGTCTGCTACAGCAGAGATGTAGGGAATTCCAATAGGACATACAGCTCTGCTTTATTGACCTGGTCAAGGCCTATGATAACATCAGTAGACCTGGGTTCCTGATGGTATTATTGACCTTCATGATGGTGGGCAGGCCCGGGTAAAACTACGTGGCTGGGAGTCGGAGCCATTCCCTGTTCACCTTGGGATGCGACAGGGTTGTCTTCTGGCTCTCACATTTTGTAACATCTGTTTCGACCACGTAGTTCGTAAAGCCTTCGATGGCTGTACTGGAGGAATTTCCATCATATACAGATATAATGGGAGGCTGATCGTGCCCGGGTGCAATCAAAGGGTGGCTCCTTATTGGTCAACCATGTTATGTATGCTGATGATCTGGTGATTGCTGCTCACTCAGAGAAGGAGTTGGAGGCGCTGCTGCTGGACCTGCAGCATGCCATTAAGAGGTGGGGCCTTACCATCAGCCCCACAAAAACTAAGCACCTGCGTATTTTGTGTCATCACAAACTCCACCCCACAACTCCAAATTGGTGATGGGGCAGTGGTTGAGGGAGTGGAGAGTTTTCCATACCTGGGAAGTGTGCTCATGACCGATTCCGATTTGACAGCAGAAGTCTCACTCCGAATCAGTCGAGCGACATTACCTTTTCTTCGGTTGGTAATGCTGTGTGGAAGCTATCTGGTCTGTCACTCCACACGAAGCGTCAGGTCTTCTCGGCCACAGTCTTTCCCTCCCTTCTCTATGCTTGCAAAACGTGGACCCCCCCCCCCCCCTAATGGAACATCTTTGCTGGTTTGACACATTTAGGCTGGCCTGCCTACGATCCATCCTGGGTTTAACCAGGCTGGATTGTCTGAGCTCACAAATCCTTGAAGAATCTGGACAAAGCCCCATTGGTGAGCTCATCAGGCAGGCAATGCTGCGTTGGCTGGGTTATATAGCCCACATGCCCAGCCACCGCATGCCTAAACAGCTTTTGTTCGGCCGGATAGAGGGGGCTAAATGGGCACGGCACGGGCTAGAGAAGAGATGGAGTGATGTGGTAAGAGGATGTGTAACTGAGTGAACTTGACGATGACTGGTACCAGCGGTGTCAAGATCAGCCTCTGTGGAGGAGGCTCGTGAAGGACGCTACTGGGCAGTTGGAGGCAGTCGAGCTCCCGCAACAACGGAGGGCGGAGAAGCGACGCTCACAAGCGGAGCGCCGTGTGGCGAAAACACAGCACGTTGGCACAGTAGGCGGTACATTTGGTGCATCGGTCAGTCATCTCAGTCGGTCGACCGATGGCACTTGGGTCTGTCCCGTGACCTGCTGCCAGCGGGCATTCCGACATTTTACGTGGCGTGAAGGCGCACATCGCCTGGCACAAGCGCCATGGTGAAGTCACCGCCACTTAGTAGCGAATGGCGGTTGTTGTTTTGATTTAAAGCTTTCGTGACTGCAGTAATTCATATTCTTAGTTCTTTCGGTAAAGTCACGTTGAAGGGAAACAATAAAATATATATAAAACAATACCGAAAGAACTAAGAATATGGCGGTTGTTGTTGTTCACAGATTTGCATAACTTCATTGATAATGTGCAAAAGTCTGGGATGCGCTTTAATTTTATAATCCGGACAATACAGAAACAATCCCACTCATGCTGTGCGACTACTCAACACCTGCAGTGAAAACTTAAATATATTTTTTATCTTACCAGGTAAGGCCCACAGAGCTATATAGCTATTTTTCAGAAGCGACCTGGCTATCACAAATGATAGCCCAACGAAGTGGCTTATCAAAATGTGGACATTTAGAGCTGCCAAATACACTAAACGCGTGGCGTTGACTCTAAATGTGGAGGAAAAAGCGGAGAACACGGATAAAAATCCAAGTGACCACGGGGAGAGACATGCAACTCCAAATATTCATCAAGCATCAGGGTTGTGATCGAACCCACGGCCTCCTGTATACCAGGCGAGGTATTCAACGTCTTGCCTGCATCTCACATCAGGTGACCGACTCTGCTGCACGGGTCAGATGTGTTTGTAGAGGTCGCATGATCGGCATGTCTACCTCTGACCTCACGAGTCAAAACACCACGAGTCTCGATGGGACACCACCTGGTGATGAAGGGATGATGATGATAATGCAATTCATGCTGCAAGCAATAAAACACAGTTATCAATTTAGAACAGTTTTATTAAGCTTAAGGAGGAACAAAAAGTAAAACCAAAATTATCTAAAATAATATGAAGGAAAAAAATAACTCAAGCACAGGTTTTTGAAAGGGCAACTCAAGCCCAGGTGTAAATGTGTAGGGGGGAAGGTATGCAACTGGAACGTTCCAGACTGCTGTCGCAGTGCCCCCTCACTGCCAACACGTGGAATGATAAGCGCACCCCTAACCACCCGGAGGAAGCGATAAATAAAAACGGTAACCTGAGAAAAATCAAAAGCACGCTCGCAAGACCATCGGACGCAACCCGTGGCCAGTGGGTCGTGATGGCACCGGTTTTGTTGTTGAGATGCGAGCTACCGCATTGCGAGTGAGTGCATCTCCGCATGATCCTCACCCTGTCATCACAGCGGCTCCCATCAATTACCGCTCGGTAGAGACACTTTTTGTGTTGTGGCTTCACGCGCACAAGCGAGCGAAGAATCCCCCAAAACCGCACTGTCCACAGGGGTGTAAATCAATCACACTGCGTGGTTCACTCCCAGCGCCCTGGCACTGAAGTGCATTTACATCTGACATCTTGGCGTCGAAACGTAGGGCTAACCCACCGCCCCCCCCCCCCCCCAAAGCGAGGGGCCCAGGGCAGTCACCCTGATTCGCTGGACCATAGGGGCGGCTCTGAGGTTGAGCGCGTAGCTCGTCTGGCTGTTGCGCAAGCAGCGAGCCCTCATCCTCTTCTTCTGTTGTACGGCAGCTGATGTAGATGCCGAGCAACAGCTGCAATTTCACATTCACTGTGGTCCAAGTCACCTGAACGTACTTTTCACTGCTGTCCGTGTTTGTATTATTCGTTGTTGTAGCGTTCTGATCCCTTACCCCTAGTGGACATCTTGAAAAAAAGAGCTTCATAGCTCATAGGATTCTTCCTCCAGTATACATATTCTGATTCTGAACTGCGTCAGGAGCGGCGGAGTAGTGTATCACCGTGATGTCTCCTTATTTTGCGGATCGGGGCGTTATTGCGTCCTTATACGTCGTGCGGCTCTGTTCTGGATGACCAGGGTCGCCAGACTACTAGATAGTTTATACTTTTCTATTTGTGCATCATCAGGTATCCGCATCTGCTGCTGCCATGGTTTGTGCAGTGATTGATGCGGTTTACAGGAGGACCGTGAGCTTCGTGGAAGATTTAAACCCAGGGGATCTTCTGTGTTTGGGTCTTTGACAAGGCAGATGATCCTGGGGTTTAGGTCTCTCACGAAGCTCGTGGTCCAGTGAGCAAGTAGGCCTCTCGGGAGCCTCTGTCTGCAGGAGAGGGCCCGACTTGACAAGCACGTCTATACCCAATGCTTGAAAGTGCTCGGATAGCAGCAGCAGCATCAGCAGCAGCATCAGCGGCAGCATCAGCGGCAGCATCAGCAGTATCAATGGCATCAGCAGCAGCGGCATCAGCAGCAGCGGCATCAGCAGCGGTATCAGCAGCAGCATCGGCAGAAACATGAGCAGCAGCAGCAGTCATGTACATCAACGGATGCATACATTCTTACACTTAGAGAATATCTGACACACACGGTGCTTTTTTGCTAAAATAAGGACTTAACTTTGCATTAGCCAACTTAACACAAGTGAAAAAAAACCGTATAAAAAATTTCCCAAGGTAAAACAAAAATAGGCACTTCAATCAGAATAGCAAGAACACAATCCCATGACTCTCCATTGAATGAGAAACTCGTCACAGACACAACAGTGCGTGCAGGCTGGAAACAAATAGGAATTGTTCCACGCGAAACTATTCGTTTTGATTGGCAACAGGTGCTACTGTGACCTCTACATCAGTCCTCCCATCATGCCTTGCATGCACAGGGCATCACCATGTCATGTGAATAGTCTATACCCATATAGTCACTTGCCACATGACATGGTGATGTCACACCTCCGATTGGCACAGTTGGTTACATGCAGTGCTAAAGTACAACATATGTACATACACCGCACCTATGATTAGGACGGTTGGCTGCGTACGGTGCGAAAGAAGTTCAACATACATACACCGCACCTCCGATTGGCCCGATTGGCACGGTTGGCTATGTACGGTGCAAAATAAGTTGTTAATCTCACGGTGACGAGATGTTAATTTCCTCGCCGGGTATGCAGGAGGTCGCGAGTTTGATCCCGACCCTGATGCCCGCAGTATATTTGGAGTTTGCATGTTCTCCCCATGGTCGCGTGGACTTTTATCCGGGTCCTCCGGTTTTTCCCTCCACATTTAGAATCAACGTCACACGTTTGGAATATTTGGCTAATACTATACATTTCCACATGATTGGCCACTTCATTGAGCTATGACTTGTGGCCAAGTCGCTTCTGAAAAAGAGCTATGTAGCTCAGTGGGCAAAATCTAGTAAAATAAAAAAGTTTAGTTTTAAAATAGTTTAGTTCCACAGTGTCTCACTAAAGTTAACAATGAAGTCAGCTTACGAAAGTTTTAAAGACATGAGCGGAACATTTACAAGGAGGAAGCGGTTCAAGAACTCTGCTAACTCTTAAAACAAGGAAGTACACTCAGCTGCAATCAGCCTCGAAAAATCGCCAGGCAAAGCCGGAGCCCAATGCTGCCCAGAAATACTCACCAACTCACATCTGCTCATTCGGAATTATGCGATATTTCATTAACTTTAGTCCCGACTCATTTCCCGTTCAAACGTACGGTTCCAACTTAATAGCCTGCGGTACTTGAGATTTGGCAGAACTGCAAAAAAAATCAGGGGGGTGAATCTTCCTGGAAAGAGGTGAGAGGGTGAGGAGGAGCAGGGCGAGGGTGAGGAGGAGGTGAAGAGAGGGGCAAGGGTGAGAAGGGTGAGGATGAGCAGGGTAACGGTGAGTAGAGTCAGGGTGAGGAGCAGCGGGGTGAGGGTGAGAAGGGTGCAGGTGAGGAGGAGCAGTGTGAAGGTAAGCGGGATGAGGGTGAGCAAGGTGAGGGTGAGCGGGGCGAGGGCGAGCGGGGTGAGGGTGAGCGGGGTGAGGGTGAGTGCGGTGCTTGCGACCGCATTCCTGTCCAGCGGAGTGGCAGCCGTGCGGAGCGCTGGCACCAGCGCCACCAGCGTCCCACTAGGCGCTGGCCAGGCGAGAGTAAGCGTGGTCATCCTTGATGAGGCCTGCAGGTGCGGTCACGCGCACAACAAACACGATGGCACAACGAGACGCACGTTAACGACGACCACGAGTAACGGCAACCAACCTAGCCAACCGTGATAATCGGAGGTGCGGAGGAAGAACAAACTAAACACAAAAAGCAGTTCCAAAAAAAATTGTTTTCAATCTAGATGATTTAATAGTGCGTAACTCCGAGTGGCTTCCTAATATTGGAAGAGCGTTGCAGATGGCCGCAGAAGCACATCCGAAAGTGCCATGCGATGCGGTGACCGTCTTTGTTCGATGGCCAGCCAAAAGTCGATGCTGCTGTGTGGATGACCGTAGTTTGCGATTTAATGGTTTCTGCTCCTTGATGAGATCAGCAAAGTATTGTGGTTAAATATCGCAAGCACTTCGTGTGTAATAAATTCAACCTCATAATGTATTTGTTGTGTCTTAAACTAACCACACGGAGACGTCTGCTGGAGGCAACGCATCTATTGAACAACTCTTAACACTCTGTAAACACTACTCTGTTAAACAGTACTCTGTTACAAACTACTCAACACGAAGGGATACGGCCCCTTTACCCGATAGCCTAAGGGAGCGACAGCCTCCCTTCGAGCGTGTCCTACACACGCCGGGCTACGCTACATGCCGACCCCTTGCCCCGGCTCCACGGGAAGGCTGGACCGACCGACCCACTCGGGGTACGGGACTAGCCCTGGTCCACTGGAACCCCGGCTCTACTCAGAGCCTCGGGGAGGGTTCAGGGTGTCCTACGCTACCTCGGGTTCGCTACAACCGGCTCTAACGAGAGCCTCGGTTGAGCGTCCCCGGGTGCTGGTCCAGCCTTCAGGTCTTCAGATGTGTTCAAGCTTGAGTTGGCGAACACTCCTGACCGTCCCGAGGGCTGGCCTTTTATCCCCAGGTCGGGGTCACCCCTCCCCTCATGACCCCCCCCCCCAGAACCTTCTGGAAGGTCTTAGAGGGCCTTAATTCTTAAGGGGTCTTACGAAGTGGCGGGGGCCCCCATCCCCCTCAGCCCCCAGCCCCTGGGGGGTCTGGGGTGTCAACCTCTGGTCACGGAGGGGCGGGGGTTTTACCTTCGGTCAGCCCCTACCCACCTCGCTCTCTCGGCTGCCCCCTGTTGGTCCGTGAGCGTGGCGGCAGGTCAGCTGCCTACAGCGCCTTATTATGGCGCATGGATTTTTCTCCGGGTCCTCTGGCTTTTCCCTCCACATTTAGAGTCAACGTCACACATTTTGATTATTTGACTGCTATACATTTACACGTGATAAGCCACTTGGTTGAGCTATCATTTCTGATAGCCAGGTCCCTTCTGAAAAATATATATAGAGCTCAGTGGGCCTGACCTGGTAACATGAAACGTTTCATAGTTTATTAACAGTTGAATTTTGTGTGTGGTTGCCATTTATTATGCTCAGTCTGCGCTAGCCACTGTAATGCGCACCGACGCCAAACGTTATCGAGGGTGATATGGGCACGTAAAATAAAATAAATAAAAATGTCATCGCTCGACCGATGACCACATCCATACAGCAGGCTATGGTCACACGCTGGAGGTTGGCTCCACGATGGAAAACGTGGACTCGAATCCCCTGGAAGGCTAATGGTGGGGGGGGGGGTGTCGGCGATGAGGAGAGTCTTTTTCTTTCTGACACCGTTTGCTTTGTTATTCACGACGGAGATGGTCGTCTGGTTCTCCGAAGGGCAGTTTGGCGGCGTTGGGCTGAGGTGCACGTGCTCGGCTCGTCCGCATTTCCCACGTACAGATTGGCAGCGGCGAGGTGCATCATCAGGATGCTCGACGCTAATGTGGAGGTCTCCTGCGGTCCTCACGACCGGGTGACTCGGTCCTCACGACCGGGTGACTCGGTCCTCACGACCGGGTGACTCGGTCCTCACGACCGGGTGACTCGGTCCTCACGACCGGGTGACTCGGTCCTCACGACCGGGTGACTCGGTCCTCACGACCGGGTGTCTCGGTCCTCACGACCGGGTGTCTCGGTCCTCACGACCGGGTGACTCGGTCCTCACGACCGGGTGACTCGGTCTTCACGACCGGGTGTCTCGGTCCTCACGACCGGGTGACTCGGTCCTCACGACCGGGTGTCTCGGTCCTCACGACCGGGTGTCTCGGTCCTCACGACCGGGTGTCTTGGTGACAAGGCGGGAAGCTCTCACCTTGTCTAGACGCAGCTACACTAAGAAAGGAAAAAAATGAAGATCGAATACTCATTTTTTTACAACTGCTTTTGTGTTTAAATTGTTGTCCTTCCCCACCCGCACCTCCGATAAGTACTGTTGGCTACGTTATGGTCCCAAAGAAGTTCAACATGAATACATACATATGTTGTGTCGCAGGCTGTGCAACTACATTTTAAAGCTTTGTTCATTGGAAAATAAAGCATTTGAAAATATTCCTTCGAATGCCGCCACCACGGCACCACGGTACCACGGCACCGACGTTCAATGATGCGTGAACGAATTTTTATTTTTATTTGCGGAGGTAAAAATGGCGAGCGATATCACCGGACTGCCACGACGACTGATCTACCCGTGATTTATTCAAATCTGCTTTCTCGTTCAACACAAGATTTTGTGACAACCTCGGTGCGACTACGCAAGAGCTCCTTAAAATCCCACAAAACGCTGGCACTGCGACTTATCAATGACCAGATGTGTGCTTTGCCAGACGACGGTGTGCAGCAGTCGAATAACAACGAGAGAGACATTCACCGTATTTCTTTCGGATCTCGTCGTGTCTTGCCTTACGATCGGCCCGCCTGTCAAAACACACGCACGCACACCACACGAAGGATGCGGGTTTACTTAAAAGAATACGAGAGACTATTTTAAATGTTTGAAAATCAAACCTCCTCGCCAAACCATAGTAATTCGTAGTCTGTGTCAAATTTGGCAAAAAAAAGCACTGTAAATAATTATTCATAGATGTTGATTCCCCAGCTGTATATTTGGATTTTGCTTGTCTCTCTCAGCCTCTCTCCCTGTGGTCGCGTGGATTTTTATCTGGGTCCTCCGGTTTTTCCCCTCCATGTGCAGAATCGTCACGCCCACTTCGTTCAGCTATCATTTGTGATAGCAAGTTCGCCTCTGAAAAAGAGCTATATAGCTCAGTGGGCATTAGTTTTATAGTTCAGTTTACTATTTCTATTCCTACTATTTATTTTTATTTTACTAGGTAAGGCCCACTGAGCGACCTGGCCACAAATGCTAGTCCAACTAAGTGGCATATCAGCACGTGAAAATGTATAGCAGCCAAATACTCAAAATGCATATTTCTAAACGTGGAGGGAAAAACCAGAGGACCCGGAGAAAAATCTATGCGACCACAGGGACAGCATGCAAACTCCAAACATACAGCAGGCGTCAGGGTTGGGATCAAAAGCACAACCTTCTGTATACCAGGTGAAGTAGTTAACATCTCGCCACCGTGGTCATGTGAAAAGTTTGAGGTCCTGATTTTCTCAACCCCGCTCATTGGATGAGTGCGCTTTTACGCCACCATCTTAATCAGCGATGGATGCGATGATTTCCAAATCGCTGTAACACTTGTAAAAATCCTGCCCGGTTAAAACGCCAATTAAAATATTGCAAAGCGCGCAACGACGCGTTGATTTGTCGTGCAAAACGTCTTGCTACGCTCGCAACGCGGACAGTTGCGCATGAAGAAATCGGTTGCCTACGATCCGTCTTGATTTCAATGTCACCAGTTCTCTCAAATCGCTGCAGCTGCTAGAGGCAACACATTCACCACTTCATAAATAAAAAAGAGAGAACCGACTCTTGGAATCAAACGCCGATCGCGAACTGCCAACAAATTTAGCGGTTTGTTGCGCGGTGACGAGTTCACGCGAGTCGGCATGCGACTACCGATGCCGGCTGCCCGCATGCTGGAGGGGACGAGGGCGGCGAGGGGCAGCCATACCTCTCCTCGCTCTGCGCGCGCCGCTCCTCCTGCTGCTGGTGGAGGCGTTCATCCTCGCGAGTCGGGCCGCTGTGGGGGCGCAATCGCACCGCCGCCACGCAGCACACCACCACCACGCAGCACAGACACAGCACACCGCCACCACACAGCACAGAACGCACAGCACACCGCCATGCCACCAGACAGCACACCTCCACCACACAGCACACCGCCAGACATACAGCACACCGCCACCACACAGCATAGACACACAGCACACCGGGCGGTCACACAGCACACCACCACCACACAGCACACCGTCACAGTCCACCACACAGCACACCAGTCCACCACACAGGACACCGCACCAACACGCAACGAAACTATTCACTTGGAAACATTTATGTTGTTTCACATCACACGTACTGAAATTGTGGACATAGTAGGATGCAAAATATTCGTGCATTAACAACTGTTAACACATGTGCAAACAGGGCTGCCATTCACCATAATGCTCATCCATTGGTCACTTAAGACTCCAATTAACTGGGTCTCCCATTCACCACGACAGGGTCTCCCATTCAGCGATTGGGGCTCCCAATCACCGTGACTGAGGCTCCCACTCACTGTGACTGATGATCCCATTCCCTGTGCCTGAGGCTCCCATTCACTGTGACTGATGCTCCCATTCACTGTGACGGGGTCTCCCAATCACCGTAACTGGGTCCCCTATTCACTGTGACTGATGCTCCGATTCAATGTGACTGAGGCTCCCATTCACTGTGACTGGGTCTCCCAATCACCCTGACTGAGGCTCCCATTCACTGTTACTGAGGCTCCCATTCAATGCGAGGCTCCCATTCACTGCGAGGCTCCCGTCCCCTGTGTCACTCGACATCACCTTTTGCGGGAGCGGCAACAGCAGTAACAGCAGGTGGCCAGGCCCAAGAGGAGGATGCCTCCCACCACCGACATGGCGATGATAAGAGCCTCAAAGTTCACTGCGGACACAGCAATGGCACACGCGCACGCAATGCCACGTTATTTACAGTAGACTCAATTATCCACGTTAATCAGTGGGAGGATGGCCACGGGAAAAAAAAAATCGCCGATAATCCAAAAATATACATTTTCCTTAGATCTCTATACCAAAAACCACTTATATCGGTGTACATTATGTTTAAGTTTCTCTGCCATCCCACAGTTTCTCAATTAAAACTAAAAAAATAAATGATCGGATAAAGCACTCAAAACAAAGCACAACTGACAACTCTTTCTGTTTAGAACGAATACTCACGATCGACCGGTCGATGCCCGTGCTCATTGATAACACTTTCCTACGCCTGCGCAGTGGATAACAGCAGAGCCATGCCAATCAACGTCAATCAAACTCCGCCCACTGTTGTAAAGATATGGCAACTACTGTACTGTAAAGGCAATCACGTAGATTTCGGATTAACTAGATCACATATTTGTTCGGTTTAAGCACGTGACTTGAAATCAACTTTTCCAAGAATAAAAATGTATAACTGTTTTTAGATGATTAATTTGGGCTTCATGGAAAATTTACGAGTTATTCATTTATCTTGACTTAAAGCTTTTGTGACTGCAGGAATTCATACTCTTTGGGTCTTTCGGTTAAGTCACGTAGATAGAAAAATTATTTTAAAAAATCACGATGTTTTGATCGCAACACAAGTAATCATCTTCAGGTGAAAAAAGTACAGCGAGAGAGCTGCTGAAGCAGGATGTTTTTAGGCCTGAGATGGGTGCATCCCAAAGGTAAGTGGGCGGGGTTAGAGACGGTATTTGCATGGAAATGTATGATCGGAGGGCGCCCTGAGGCTGTGGGCATTATATTGAGAGAAATTATCATGTCAATGTATTGTGAGAACGGAGGGCGCCCTGAGGCTGTAAAGGTAGCCATTGTATTGTGAAAAAACGAGAGCCACCGCCAACATCGACGGAAAGGAGCATTAGGTGACTGTGCTAGGAAGACATCCAGCCTGTCAATGCAAAGACCTCCAACCTGGCAATGCAACTCAGAGAGTCGGAAATAACTGCTAACATCGGCAGGTAGGATGAAAACATCAGAGCCAGTTATGACTAACTGACTAATACCCATCTGTACCCATCTTCTCGGTTGAAATTGTGCCTGTGTTTATACATCTGGATGGCTTCATTAACACATCTTTGTTGATAGCCAGTGGGTTTGCATAGTACCTTCGTCTTGGAGAAATCAATTTAATCTGGGCCCACAGCATTAAAACAATGATCAGCCACGGCAGAGGTGTTGGTCCTACCGTGTTTCAGATCTGCCTTGTATTCACGAACATGGTCTGAGACATGTCGCTTAGTTTCCCCAATGTAACTACTGCCCGCAGGCACACCAACTCACAGGAGGCCGCCTCAAATCCTTATTGGCAAAATCCATAAAATCCTTATTGGAAAAATCCATAAAATCCTTATTGGCAAATCTGTGCTATACTTAGCTAATTCATTATCCCCATTGTCAAATCCAAGCAAGCTAAGGCATCCATCTACAGTTAATCATCGATTATCCAGTGCACGGTTATCCGGCTGCTTCCAACATTATCCGGCGGTCAGGTGTCAATCCGGCAACACCGCTCCAAAGGGTGTAACCTAGTCAAGTGATTGGCACCGTATGCGTGACGACAAAAGCAGCTTTGCTTGATTTCAACATTAAATATTATATACAGTACATTATACACTACATATAAACAATGAAAATACTGCACGTGTGTACATCACCCCATGCAGAATCTTCGAGATTGGAGTGGTAAGTACAGTACAGTAAACACAGTAACTTTTTACAGGATATTAATTTTTGTCTATTTGTATGTTTACTTGTGCAAATTGAACATCGTAAACAAATTTAAAAGACAAAATAATCTATAAACGACACCTAACAACAATGTTATGAAAGATTGTGCAAAAATAAGCTACTTTAAATAATGATTGAGTGATTATGCGGCGTTTTTGAAAATCCAGAACCCTGGCAACGGTGAGAGAGAGGGCGGGTGAGGACATGGCCCTTGGGTGAACCCGGGAGGACACGTACCCGGACGAGGTGGAAGGGGCTACCCCCCAAAGGGGGTGAGAGGGGCACGTGATGGGGAACCAGAACCCTCGAGAAGAATCTGGAATGGGGCGGATAAAAGCCTGGTGCGGAGAAGTAGGCGGGGTTGTCGTTGTTGCTGTCCCAGGAAATGGAATCCGTCAGCCAGGTCCTCGGTCTTCGGGCGTCGGACAAGCCGTCGAGAGCCGGGCAGCGTGTTAGCTGACCCGGCCGATTATATAGTGTCCCCGTGTGTGGTTATGTAGCTATCTCTGGTGGTCACCACCCTTAGTTGTTATCCCGTTGAGTGTAGACTTACATGTTTTGTTAGTAAATAAAATGTGTTGCCTCCAGATTCAAGTGTGCGCTTTAATGGAACCCAACACACTTGTATCGAGAGTTCGATGTTAATGTGCAACGTTACTGGGGGACGACTGCTGCTTGGTGTGTGGTCTGGGACTGTTTTGGTTTTGGTCCTCGCCAAATGCTTGATAAACCAGACCTATATAATGAATTTGTTTATCATTAATTTACATTCCGTGACTTGCTTACTATTTTCTTTATTTTGCACTCCTATCACGTGTTTTTGTATCGTTTGCTGTTGTAATTTGCTGACCTGCCCATGCTGGACATTTGTGAACAAAGGGGTTTCATAGCTTTACTGGATTCCTCCTTTAGTCTAAATAGAGACTCTGATTCTGTAAACCCAATTGAATAAATGTGGAAAATTCTGACGAAAAAAAGGCTAATTTAGAGCATGATGTCAGCTCAAACTATAGCCTCCTCTTGTGAAGGAAACCACGGAATCTCGAATTCCAAAGGTGAAGCAGACTTGGCGCGTAATTGTATCACAGCAAAACGCTCCGTTATCCGGCATCTGTCATAGACGGTAATGACTCTTCCTTCACGTATCCGGACAAAATTCCGACAGACATCCGGTATCTTCCCATGCCGCCTATTGTAGACCCGTTGTTATTGTTGTTGTTTACGGGAGCTTCAGGATACTGCCGAGTGGTGGCGCTTGCCGAAGAATGTAGTACAGTACTGTACTACCGTATACAGTACTCTACATGGCCCCATTGCTTCTCTGCAATCAACTTAGAATGCTCTACAACTGACTGGTGAGTACATCTGTAAAATAGTATGTTATTTCTTATGTCCTTGTTAAAATTTAGGCATAGTTCATTTTTGAAGAGTTTTATGCACTTGGAAAATTTGGTGAACCATGAGTACTGTACAACTCTCAGATAACTGGCACGTTTGATTAACCGGCACCCTCTATCCCCCCCAATGGATGTCGGATAAATAGACGCTTTCTCTTGCAGCTCCGTAGTGTTCATACCGCACAGCATCAACCAGGGCAGCCCGCTGGATCTGAACGGGCGAACATCCGCAACGAGAGACGAATGGCACGTCAGCCGGGTCGGGTAACCGCCACCCCCCCTCCCCGCCGCAAAATGCCAGCGTGATTGTAATGGAAATCATCGGTCGACGTCAGCACGCTCTGCGAGGATGGCGGGTCATGGCGTCTTCATCAAAAACAAAAATACAATCTGGGAAGATGAAACTTGGAGCAGATTTTTGTGCGTCTTCTCATTCTAGCGCTACGTATTTGGATTCCTCGGGTTACAAGACTGAGAAGAGAAACAACGCTGAGTACATCAACGCCTCTGGGTACATGTGTGATCTTGTGCAAGACGTCTACTCAGACTCGCCTTCCAATGAAATATAAAATGAAAGGGAGGGAAGTTTCTTTACTTATTATTTATTTTATTTACGACAGCAGTTCCTCGGTTAAACAGGGACATCGGTTAACCTTTTATCCGGTCAACGTTTCGCCTTCCAAAGAGGACCCCATGGTTTCGACTCACATTAACGTTGTGACTAATGGTACGTTTACATAATGTACGTGGGGCGCCAATTTCGGGAAATCCGAACGCTCTTAAGTGGGGCTGAACCATGGCCTAAGCCAATCAGCGACGCCCAACTATGAGCCGTTTAGACCTCGACTGGCTTCGTTTACATTACGCTTTTTAATTTTGCCAGTGCAGCTCTATTGCAGTGATTTTTATTTATTTTTCAACTTATAAGCGAATTCTATTAAAACAGTGGTTCCAGGTTAAAAATAGTTTTCGTGGAATGGATTAAAAACATTGACCGAGGGACTACTGTTCTTACTTTTCTCACGCTATTCGCTGCGTACGGTCGCACTTTATTTTGCACGCCGTTTTTATTTACTTTGCTAATAATAAGTTAGATTTAGAAAGCACCCTTAAACAACTGTTCGAAAGGCACTATTTTATCTATCTTCATCCTATCTACAATCCTCTTGCTCCGTGCCCTCTGTACCGTTTCTGTTCCGCTGTAATGTGCACATGATGCCCACTTTATTGAGGGCGATATTGGCACTTAAAATAGTGATTAATTGAACGGCAGGAGCAGGGTGCACAGCCTTTTCCAACACGGAGCAATGCTGCCCCACAGTGAGCCAATGTGGAAGTACTGCCAAACTCGAAATTGTAAACTGAACTATAAAACGAAACACTTTTTTATTCTACCAGGTAAGGTCCACTGAGCACATGCATCTTTTTTTTCAAAAGAGACCGAGCTATCACAAATGATCGCTCAACCAAGTGGCTTAAAAAGGGGATATTTATCACAGCAAAATAATCTCAACGTGTGATGTTGATTCTAAAATGTGGAGGGAAAAACCTGACAGCAAGAAAAATCCACGCCACCACAGGGAGAGAGAGAGACATACAAACTCCAAATATACAGCCGGCGTCAGGCTCGGGATGGAAACCACAACCTCCTGTATAACAGGCGAGGGAGATAACATCTTACCACTGAGGCACCCCACAACCTACCACCGCACTCCTGCACATCAACAGCAACCGTGCCAATCGCCACCAAGATGTGCTG